AAGATTTTATTTATTTATTTGACAGAGAAACAGTGAGAGAGGGAACACAAGCAGGGGCAGAGGGAGAAGGAGAAGCAGGCTTCCCGCAGAGCAGGGACCCCGATGCAGGGCTCGATCCCAAGACCCTGGGATCATGACCTGAGCCGAAGGCAGACACTTAACGACTGAGCCACCCAGGCGCCCCCGAATTTATTTTTTGATTTGCGTTTTATTTAAGTGTTATAAATACATACATATGGATCACCATTTTGCTACTTTTAAGAGAAGATGATAGGAATTAATAGTTATTATATACCCCCTAAATGCAGAACAATGGGCTTTATTGCTGTTATTCAGTTCTTGTATCATTGTATCAACTAGATATTAACTTCTCCATTCTCCAAGGGGAAAATTAGTGTCAGAGAGAATATTACTCGAATTCATGCAAATGGTAAATAATAAAACTGGAATTCAATAAATCTTTGAGTCCTATTAATGTTTAAACATTCTAGGGGCACCTGGCCGGCTCAGTTGGTTGAACATGTGACTCTTCATCTCAGAGTCATGAGTTTGAGTCCCAAGTTGAGCATAAAGTTTACTTTAAAAAAAAGATTTGGATATGTCAATTATATATCAATAAAACTGAAAAACCAAAGATTAATAAAAAATAAACATTATAAAGTAAATATATATGTGTACTATCTTCATCCTCAAAAAATTTCATCATCTAAGGAGCTATAGTAAACCACTGATGTGTTGCATTGACTGATGTGTATAACGTCCCTTGGAACATGACCCAGACTGAGGAAAGCAGGGGCAGCTTCTCAGTGAAGATGACACCTGAGCTCATATATGAAGGCCGAGTAGAAGTTCACCAGGTGAAGAAGGAAGAAGGTAGAATGTTTTTCTCAGGCTCAAGCCTAGATTCTATTCTATGATAACTAAGATTAGGTACAGGTTTCTCTAATAAACCAAAATATTAGTTTTTTTAAGAAGATAAAAGTTTTTTTCTCTCTCATGTAAGAGAAATCTAGCAATGACTAGTTCATGGCTGTTACGGCAGATCTGTGGTATAAAGTAGGGGACAGGTTCCCGTCTTGCTGTTCCACCATCCAAGTTTATGACTTCAGGTCCAAGATGACTCCTGGAAGTTTGCAACCCCAGTGTCACATTCCCTGAGCAGTTATAAGAAGGAGGAAAGGGAAAGAGAAAGAGAAAGGACACCTCCCAACTCGGTCTGTATCCTTTCAGACGTCTTCTCGTAAATCCCAAGCAGTACACCACTCTTGTTTTATTGGCCATAACCTGGACATACAGTCACACCTCGCTGCAGGGGTGGCAGGAAATGTCTTTTATTCTGTGCCATGTGTGCAATTAAAAAGCAGTGGTCTGTTACTAAGGAAGAAAGAGAGAATAAATGGATGGCCTAGCAGCTTCTACCAGAGTCCAAATCCCAAATTTCCACAAACTAGTTATTATCCAGGTGAAATTTTTTAGGCAGTTAATAAAAGAGAGTCAGTGGATTTTCATTAGAGTATATAAAAGTCAAAAGAGCAGGAATATTTTTCAATGATCAAATGAAATATTATAACAAAGAATATTTAGAATATATTTACATCTGTTTCTCTTCCAATAATAAGAGCAACATTGAGTACATGGAATATAATATTTGCCTAAAAATTCATTCCTCTTAAACATTGACATTCATGAGTAAACAAGAGCATCTTCATCATCCAATGTGAGTAGATATCTATCCAAGTAAATTATTAGAAATCTGTTCATGTGGGGCGCCTGGGTGGCTCAGTCGTTAAGCATCTGCCTTCGGCTCAGGTCATGATCCCAGGATCCTGGGATCGAGTCCCACATCGGGCTCCCTGCTCAGCGGGAAGCCTGCTTCTCCCTCCCCCACTCCCCCTGCTTATGTTCCCTCTCTCGCTGTGTCTCTCTCTGTCAAATAAATAAATAAAATCTTTTAAAAAAATAAAAATAAAAAGAAATCTGTTCATGTGAAGTTAAATCATTGGAGATTACCTGACAAACCAGAAACACTTTAGGTTGATGTAACTGCTTTGGTCAAAAAAAAAAAAATCACTTTCACATAGATTTCTTTTTCTGTTTTGAAAGATTTTTTAGGATAAGATACCTAATCACAAATTTTAAGCATTTTTAAAAATGTTAAATACATTCTTGATGACATCTAAAGGAAAAACCTAGAATCACTGCAAGTGTGTCCAGAAAAATACACTTGTACTTCCAGGATAGAAAACCAATTGCTAAGTCATCCCTGATGTTGAATTAGGCCTTATGCCCCAAATCTGAAAACACGGATGTGTTCAGTGTATAAACATTTAAGTCACTAATGAGGGCGGGACTGCCCGCAAGATGTCTAAAATCTGCTTTTCAAAGTTCGAAGCTCTGGGGGTATAGCTCAGGGGGAGAGCATTTGACTGCAAAGTTCGAAGCTCTTTGGGCGCTCTCGCCACAGGTCTGAGGTCCTGCGATGACAGCCTGGTTCTCTCTC